CCTCAGCCTTCCAAGTAACTGGAACTACAGGCACGTGCTACCACGCCTGGCTAGTTTTTTGATTTATTGTAGAGATGAGGTCTCGCCAAGTTGCCCGGGCGGTTCTCGAACCCGAGGGCTCAGGCAATCCACTCACCTCAGCCTCCTAAAGCGGGGGATTACAGACTGAGCCACCGAGCCCGGCTTCTTTTTTCTTTCTTTTCTTTCTTTTTTTTTTTGGTGTTGGCTTCTCAGTCTGTCACCCAGGCTGGAGTGCGGTGGCACACTCCCAGCTACCGCAGCCTTGACCTGCTAGGCTCAGGCGATCCTTCCACCTCAACCTTCCAAGTAACTGGAACTACAGGCGTGCGTTATTGCACCCAGCTTATTAGTATTTTATTATTTGATTTATTGTAGAGATGAAATCTCACCAAGTTGCCCAGGCTGGTCTCAAACCCCTGAGCTCTGTCAATCCTCTCGCCTCAGCCTCCCAAAGGGCTGGGATTATAGGCTTGAGCCAATTTGCCTGGCCTTTTTTTTTTTTAAGAGAAATAGCTTTTATTTTCTTGTTTTGCAAATAAAGCTGACTGCGTTGGTTGCTTTCTGGTGATTAGTCAGAGAGACCAAATCCCATCTCCTCATCGGACTCCTCCAAGTTTTCCTTGGCTTCAACCTTGGCTGGAGCTGCAGCTGCAGCAGGAGCAGCGGTGGCCACAGCAGCCACAGGGACGGCAGCCACAAAGGCAGATAGATGGATCAACCAAGAAGGCCATGACCTTTCCAGCAAGTGGGAAGGTGTCATCCGTCTCCACAGACAAAGCCAGGACTCGTTTGTACCCATTGATAATAGAATGGGGTACTGATGCGACAGTTGGATAACCAATCTGCAAACACTGGCAACATGGTGGACACCCTCCAGGAAGCGAGAATGCAGTTTCCTCTGTGACATCAAGCATTTCAGGGATGTAGATGCTGCCATTGTTGAACACCTGCTGGATGCTCAACCCAAAGGAGACCGGGGAGGTGTTCAGCAGTGTGGCTTCACTGGCTCCTGCTTTGTCTCCAGTCTTTTTTTTTTTTTTTTTTTAGTTGGAGTCTCACTTGTCGCCCAGACTGGAGGGCAGTGGCACGCTCTGGGGCAACCGCAGCCTCAACCTGTTGGGCTCTGGTGATCCTTCCGCTTTAGCCTTCCAAGTAGCTGGAACTACAGGCGAGTGCTACCACACCCGGCTAATTTTCTGATTTGTTGTAGAGATGAGGTCTCACCAAGTTGTCCAGGCGGGTCTCGAACCCACGGGCTCAGGCAATCTACTCACCTCAGCCTCCCAAAGCGCGGGATTACAGGCTGAGCCACCGAGCCTGGCCTGTCTCCAGTCTGAATTGACTGCATATCACTCAGGATTTCAATGGCGCCTCTGGAGATTTTAGTGGTGATGCCTAAAGCCTGGAGGAAGGAGGTCTTTTCGGGTCCTAGACCAGTGTTCTGGGCTGGCACAGTGACTTCACATTGGGCAATGGCACCTGCACAAGCAGCAGCTGGCACCATGTTGGCCAGCAGCACGTACCTGATCTCAGTGAGTTCCTCCTTGGTGAACACAAAGCCTACATCCCCCCCCACCCCCATATGCGGCAACAGTTTCTCTAGAGCTGGGTTGTTTTCCAGATGCCCTGGGACGGCTTTGCGTATCATGGTGTTCTTGCCCATCAGCCCCACGGCCTTCCCTTGGAGGCACTTGCAGATCTGCTGCATCTGCTTGGAGCCCACATTGCGCCCACAATGAAGCATTTTGGATAGTCAGCCAAAAGTTGACTTTTTTTTTAATTGCTATTTTAATTTTTTTAATTTTTTGAGTTGAGTCTTGCTCTGTCGCCTGGGCTGGAGTGCAGTGGCACACTCACGGCCACCACAGCCTCGACCTGCTGGCTCAGGCGATCCTTCCACTTCAGCCTTCCAAGTGGCTGGAACTACAAGCATGTGCCACCACTCTAGGCTAATTTTTAAAAAAAATTTATGGTAGAGATGAGGTCTTGCCAAGTTGCCCAGGCTGGTCTCGAACCCATGGACTCAGGAAATCCTCTTGCCTCGGCCTCTCAAAGTGCTGGGATTATAGGTATGAGCCACTGCGCCCAGCCAGTAGGATGATCTTAAGGAAGTAGTTGGACTTCCAGGTAACCCTGTCTTCCCTGGGCATCACGGTGGTGCATCAGGGATTGCCACACAGGGTTTAAAGACGATGTCACTCACACGAGGATGCCTGTTGAGAAGAAAGTCTTACTTTTTTACTGGTCTGTCAGTCAGGGTCTCAGTTCCCTTGACTGTAGCTTTTGGAAAAGCAGAGTAGTTCTGGTTATCCTGCTCACAGTATCAAAACTGAGAGGCCCGAAAAACCCTTTCTTTTTGTCCTCTGAAGCTTTGCTGAAAATCAACTGAAAAAGGCAAATTAATAGGAGAAAAGGCATACATATTTTTTAATGTGCATACATGTGCATGGGAGTCATACAAAATATGAAAACTCAAAGAAAGGACCAGATGGTTGATGCTTTGATACTATCGTGAGGTTACAGAAATAATAGATGCTTAGAGCATGGCAAGACAGATTTTGGGAGAAAGAAAAGAGGAAAGGCATGGCTAGCAAAAGTGGTCTTGTTATGCAGGTGAAACCTTACAGATAGGAGCTCTCAGAAATAATAAGTTTCTGTCAGACTCCCAAAGGTGTTGAACTCTCTGACTCTCTCTCTCCCATGAGTCATTGCTTCCTAGTTCCAGATGGAGAAACAGGGCAGAAATAGCCTGGCTGCTTATTTCATCAATACAGATTTTCTTTACAGATGCAAATCTCCTTCACAAAAGGTAGTTTTTCAAAGCTAGTCTTATCTGCAGACCCTCAGGATGGCCATCTTAAAACATGTCCAAGAAGTAAATTTTGGGGTGAAATGCTTCTTGATTTTTTCTCATATTAGAACACCTGCCAGGCAGTTAGATGTCAATTGTACTTTTATTTCATTTTTAAAAACCAAGTTTCCTTGTGTCCCCAGTGGCTGTGAGGGGAGGAGGACACAAGAAAGTGAGAAAATTTTTTGCCTCATTTTTTGCTTCAATCAGAGAAGAGCCCTTGCTATGGTTTGAACATTTGTACCCTGTAAGCCTCATTATGAGATTTGATCCTCAGTATTAGAAGTTGGGCCTAATGGGAGGTGTTTGGTTTATGGAGATGGATTCCTGACGAATAAATTAGTGTTCTCCTTTTGGGGGATATGTATGTGTTGTCAGTCTGTTAGTTCCTGTGAAAGCTGTTTGTTAAAAAGAGGCTGGCACCTCTCTTCTCTCTCTCTCTTTTTTTAAAAATTTTTTTTTGAGTTGGAGTCTCATTCTGTTGCCCAGACTGGAGTGCAGTGGCCACTCCCGGCCACCACAGCCTTGCCTGCTGTGCTCCGGCGATCCTTCCGCCTCAGCCTTCCGAGCAGCCGGAATTACAGGCATGCGCTACCAAGCCCAGCTGATTTTTTGATTTATTGTAGAGATGAGGTCTTGCTGCCCAGGTGGGTCTTGAACCCGCGGGCTCAGGCAATCCACTCACCTCAGCCTCCCAAAGGTTTTACAGGCTGAGCCATTGAGCCCGGCTCTCTCTCTCTTGCTTCCTCTCTCACCATGTGATCTCTGCACATGCCAGCTCCTCTTCACCTCTGCCATGATGCAGGTGCCCAATCTTGAACTTTTCAGCCATCAGAATTGTGTGAGCCAAATAAATCTTTTTCTTATAAATTACTCAGCCTCAAGTATTCCTTTATTGTAACACAAAATGGATCAAACCCCTCTTTTACTTTTTTATGCCTTTATATGGATAAAAGGAATTTAGCTTTTTTTTTTTTTTAGGTTTGACAATAACTGAAACATGAAATAAGTTTGGAATTCACAATTTCTAGACTTCAGGCTATGAGACATAGAAACGAAATGTTTCACAAGGCAAGATTCAGGGACAATGATGACCATTTACCAAGGAACAGCATAAAATTCCTCTGCAGGTCCTAGCAGAGCAACAACTGAGCTAGTGTCCACTGGGGATGCATGTGTTTGGGTGGTTTGAGGTGGGTGTGGTAGAGTTTCAGGGGTTCTGATAGAAACAGCATATGAGGAAAGAAATCTGCTACCTATCACTTTTCTTTTTTTTTTTTTCATTCTCTTCCGACTGCATATCTGTCTCTGTTGCTTCAGCTTTCCTTCCATTCGTGATGAGCAAGTATGTTGACCAGGTTTGGAGGCTTACTATAATAGCCAAAATGTGATTATGAAGGATTTTACCAGCACAAAATAATCTTATAAACAGAATTCTCATTTCAAATGAAATTAAATGATGTGCCTCTGTTCTAAGACTTATGAATCCTTTCTGTTATTTTTGCTTTAGAAAAGCAGTGAGAAGGACCAGTTAATTGAATTACATTCTTTGTAAGACTTTTAATCTTGTACCATTATTTAAAGGAATCTATAATGGGAAAGCACTTTGGGCTAATTCCCTTCTTGTTGAGCATTCTGGGTCAGGTTGTTCTAGTGGGTTTGACTAGGGCACAGTGAGTATTAACAGATTTGAAGAAATGGGACAACTCTTTCTATTCTGCTGGGTAATTGGCCCACTAGATGGTAAATATTCCATCTCTGAGACTAGTTTTTCCTTCAACTGTATAATACTAAGTGGAAATTTAATGGAAAGAACTTCTTTAAATTTTACATTTAGCTCTTGCAAAAAAATTTAGCATCAAGATAAATGGATCTTCTTAAGATGACATGATTTGAAACTATCCTTTCTTGTAGTAATTTTCTATATCTCCTAACCTCCCTAGTCTGATGTCATCTTCATCTCCAGCCTACTTTTTCATTTTTCTAATCCCATTAGATTTTCTTCCTTTTCTCTATACCACCATAAAAGGATAATGATCAGGTGGAAGATTTCTGTGGCCTATGCCAACATTAAACTGCAGATGAGAGGAAACTGAGTATCACCAGAATGAACCATATCCTAGCGATGCTTTTTTTTTTTTTTTTTACATAAATTAAACCATTTATTATCGGCTAGTGATATCTCAAATGGTGGAGCTTCTACTGGTCTTTCAATTCCTTCAGTCTTCTGATGACAGACTTTACCATGACAGAAGTGATATTGTAGGTCCAGGCTCTACCAGCTACTGTTTTCATACAGGAGCCACAGTGTCAGATGCCCACAGCTCTTCTCTTCATCTTGGTTTTGCCACAGAAGGAACAAGTGAGCTTGGCATGCTGGTTGATCTCAATCTTCTTCACCATTTTCTGGAGGAAGGCACCATAGCCGGTCCCATATTTACCAACGATTCTGACCATCTTGCCATCGATAGGTCTGAGATCAGAGCATGATGCACTTTCTTAATGGTTTTAGACCAAGCCTCTGGCTGTATAAGGATGAAAATTACTTCTCTTAGATTCCATAAAAGAGCTATGTAGTGTAACCTGAAGGTTTTTCAATGTCTTGACTAAATACATACTTAGGTGCAGGTCAAAGGTCTCATTACAGGCCAAACCAGCAGAAAATTTCTTCTCCCCCATTGTTGATTTGGTTTCTTTACATTTATGCCTGATATATTTAGCAGTTTTAATAACAGACCTAGAGTAGAAACTCTCTTACCCAACTTCCTGTGAGCTGACTAGTCAGATTAACTAAAGCACCCCATTTTCCCTGTAAAACATGGTGGGTACTATCAAACCTAACACATTGCAGCCAGTACACATGCGTGCTGCTTTATCAGTTGAGTTTTCAAAAGCTACTAGTGTTTGCTCCCAAGCCTGTTTCTGCCAGTTTTTCTTGATATATAGCTATAACTTAATTACATGTCACATGAAATGTTGTTTCTATTAAAACTAAGCTAATTGCTTTGTGGGAAAATAGAGTCACTAGATTTTTTTCTTGAATTAAGTATACTAAAGGCGACTGTAAAGGTAGAAGGAATGTTCTAAATATTTAGAATAATTCTAGGTGCTTTTATTATTACTCCAGGGCAAGAGCCTTAAACCAGGACTTCTCTGAGCAAATTAGGGCATATTCTTTTGCCCTATGTAAAAGAGATGTGATTTTCTAAACCAGGCATATGGAGAATGAAGACTATATTCAATGAGGGGCACTTGCATGATTAAAGACACAAAAGAGAGCATATGTGTTTGTGTGTAAAAAATAAACCTTGGTTTGATAGGTCATGCAAAGTCAATGTAATTAGTTATTAGTCAATGCAATTAATTATTAATTAATAGGAAGAAAAAGTATACATTGTTTAAACCATTTACTAAAATAAAAGCTACATACAGAAAAAAGCATAAATCTTAAGTGTAGAACCTGATGTATTTTAACTAAGTGAACATACATATGCATTCAGCACTTACATTAAGCCACAGAACATCCTCAGAACCCCAGAAGCCATTCTCTTGACTCTGATCTGTCAAAATCTTGTGTAAGGGAAACCACTATTCTGAATCCAAGCATTATAGATTAGTTTTGTTTGTTTTCATCCTTTTTATAAATTGAATCTTGAAGAATGTATTATTTTTGTGTCTGGCTACATTCATTCAACATCATTTTTCAGCAGGTAGTAGTACTTTAGTCACATTTGTTGCCAATTAGTATGCCATAATATGATTACACCACAATGCATTTATCCATTGTACTTTTGATAGACTTTTGGGTTGTTTTCAGGATTTGGCTATTGCAAGTAATGCTGAATGAATGGCCATACTTATACATCCACTTTATTGAATATGTATGCATTTCTGTTTAGATCTTTTCCTAGGGATAGACTTTCTGGGTACAGATTATGTGTATGAGCAACTTTAGCTGATATTGGCAAACAATTTTCCCCAGATGGTTGCACTAATTTACACTCCCATCAGCAGGGTTCAGAGTTCCAGTTGCTTTGCATCATCACTTGCTATTGTCTTTTTTACGCAGACTTTTTGGTCATGTGCACGATGCCAATTTATTGTTGTTTTAATGTTTATTTTTCTAATGGCTAAAAAGTTTATTTTTTAATGTTTATTTTCCTGATGACAAATCTTTTATTTTCTTTTTTTTTGTGTGTGTGTTGGAGTCTCACTCTGTTACCCAGACTGGAGTGCAGTGGCCGCTCCTGGCCACTGCAGCCTCGACCTGCTGGGCCCAGGCGATCCTTCCACCTCAGC